CAGTGCCAACAGCATCCTGGTCCTGCCGACTCGCCTCCTCGGCCCCATCAGCCGCCTCACCTTCATGAGGTGGGGAATCCAGGTGAATAACTGAGTCGTTCGGCTGGGGTTCAGCGTCAGCAGTGGCTACAGAGGGAGCCACGGTTGACGATTGGGGAGCGGTCAGTGGCAGAGCGGTAGGAGGAGCTGTGATGATCCTTGAGGATGCGATGTCCTGGCACTCATCAAATATATGCTCCGCTTCGGTGGGTTCTGGGTCGACATAGACCCCCAGAGGCTCGATCCCCAGATCCTTGTCTACCTCATCCGGAGTGGAGCTGGTCTGTCCCTCATCCGGAACCCGGTCGGCGAAGCCTTCCCGGAATCCTTGAGCATACCGAAGAGCACCGACCCTGGAGAACCGAGCATGAAGGGCCAGCATCCCACCACCCACTCTGCTGATAGCGTCGATCAGAGCGGTACGCTCGTCCAGAGCTCTTTTTTCAAAAGCCATCCGAGCAGACTGTTCATCAGCTAGAAGACGTTGGAGTTCTGCCTTCTCTTCTCTGAGTGATTCCTGCTCAGTCTGCCAGACGCTCTTCTCGAGCTGGAGGGCGTCCTTCTCATCCTGAAGGGAATCATTCTCCTTTTTCAGGACATCTCTCTCTTGCTCGGCTTTGTCAAGCCGAACCAGCACCTCGGTATTCTTCATGGCAAGGAGGTCGTTCTCTTTATTAGCCACCTCCAGGCTGTCAGAATACTTTCGGGCCCTGGCGTTCCCCATTTCCACCTGCTTCTGCATGGCCATCATCCCAAACAATGTCTGCATAGGTGCACAATAAGAACGGTTAAACCAATAGTCAGAACGGGAGAAGGCAAGACCAAGTAATATAAGAGAATTCATGAGTTAGAAAATAAAAGTCACCTCCATAGCAGATTGGGGAAAGCGACTGAACACGTCCTTCTGGGAAAGGCCCTTTGCCGCCTCAATGTCCTTCGGAGTCCACATGCTCCTGTAGTAGGCCATAGCGGTCTGGCCATCCTTCAGCATGGTCTCGTTCGGTTTCACGAACGTCCCATCCGTTCGAGTGTACCGAGGGGCCCATGGCGGCAAGCTGGGGATAGAAGGGGGGCCTGAAGCAGAAGCAGAGCCACCAGCTGCAGGAGGCCCAGAGTGAGAAGGAGCTCTGATCGCTCGGTGCAAGAGAGTACCCGGCCCAGAGACTCGGGTCCTTCTAATAAGAGGCTCCTCCTCAGGGTCGATTTCACTGTCAGGATGAGGCCTTTTGCCTCGCTCTTTGTCCCGACCGCCCCCCGCAGCAGCAGGAGCTATGGTAGCTGGGGAGGGCGCGTTCTGGTTGGCCGCAGGGGCGCTGGCAGCAGGGTTAGTAGCCACTGCGCTCGGAACAGTGTCAGATATGGTGGCTGAAGAAGAAGCCGACGCTGGAGAGGAGGTCGCCCCAGCAGCAGGAATGACTGGGGGAGTATTTTTCCTCCTGCCAAAAGAGGGAATCTGCAGTCTGCTCATATTGTAGCCGAGTGATGAGAGCGCAAAGAGGTTGTCTGAAGTGAGGAGATCTGAGCAGGAAGGAATATCGTTCAGAACGTATCTCTTCAAGTAGTTAATCCTATCCCTGCAAACACTGTAGCTCAAGTCATCACAAGGTATTCCCAAGGAGCGGCATAAGTAAGTGCAAAAACGAGGAACGCATGTTTCACAGGGGCAGTCGTGTTTATGGGATTTGAATTTTTTATAGGAGGAGACAGAGCAGACACCAAAGGCGCTCGGGATTGGGTAATCCTCTGCAGCCGGCGAAGACCAAGCCCCACTAATACCCACTATGCTATCCCTCCAACCCTTTTCAGATTTTATTGTGTCAGTGCATATGGACATCTTCTCGAACGGGTAGAGGTGATAGAAGGGCTCGTTAGTACGGATCTTACTGACCTTATAACACAGAAGGAGGTCTATGAGGTCAAGGTCCAGATTTCTGTCACGCATCAATAAGAGCATAACAGATATGATCCTAAAGAAGTTGGGGTTGACCTGCAGAGGGGATATCCCCAATCTGTTGAAGACGTAACTAAAGAAAGGGTGCAGAGGGAACCTAACAACATTCAGTTGAAGGTTTGTGAATAAGACTTCGCCGGGCAGGAGGCCGGCGCCGGTCGTAATATTAACGTCTTGGGGGCAAACCCTAACTACGATGTTGTCAGGAAGTCTAAGTCTCATACGAAGAACACCCAGATCTACAACCATGGTGGAAGTGCAAGAAGAATCTAGAAGAGGGAAAATGGAAGCCTGCCGAAAGTAAAAAGAACGAAACTAACCTCGGAGGACTGCAAGATCGCTGGGAGAATGACTCTCGAAGGATTTCACCGGAAAAGGCTTAGCACAGTTCTAGAAAGAGGGAGATTTGGCTGATGATGGAGACGGTAAAGGGAAGTGAAGTGGAATTCGAGAGCATTATATAGGCAAGGGGGCCCGAGGGCCGAAGCGTCGGGAAGGCAAGAAATCCCTCGAACCCCGGAACATTGATTCTGGATCTGACCGTTCGCTCCCCCACGTGGTTATCTCGAGCCGTCAGCGTCATGATGAGACGCCATCAATAATTACCCCTTATTAAATAAGGGGCAATTATGGGGGCAGTTGAGGAGGCCCTGGATGACATGGGCCAGGTCCGACTCGCAAAACACAACCTTCAGTCCGAACAGCTGGGTCAGCCCATAAAAAGACACTGCCATATGGGCCGAGCGGGAGTAAGCCCATCAAGAGTGACCAGGGCTTACTGAGGAATAGGCCCAGGTCCAGCAATTAGTAAATATCTTGTAAATATCTTGTAAATATCTGGGAAGTATCTATAAATAGGAGTTGGAATGAAGAGGAGGGGGATCTTGATTCGGGTTGAGGTGTAAGAATTCTAGAGAGAGAAAGAGTAGAAGGAGTTTCTTGCATCTTCAGTCACAAACAATGAAATTCAATCACGAGTATTCAAACATGATTATAGAATTTTGAATACTTCGTAAGGGAAAAATTAAAATCTATAGTTTGTCAATTATTTATTTCCAATCGAAGGGGCTTGATTATTAGATCACAAAAAAGAACCGAATTTTACCTTGGTTGGGGGATTTTGTGCACGATGAACACCAATATATCACGATGAACAGAATATTACACATTAATATCACGATGAATACAAATATATCACAAAATATAAGCACCAATGCCATAATTTTCAACAAATTATATAATATATTTATATTGAAAAAACAACACGCATACAACATTATATTAAATTAAAATTTTAACACATTTATATAACTATTATTATGTTGTTAATTTAAAATGGTTGCATGACCGAATTCAACATCCAAACCGAGGAAGCTTAATGGGAGCTCAAATCACTGGTACATTTGAGCTTAGTCTCTTATTCTCCATAGACTCCGTAGCTAGGTTCCGGTTGGACCAACAAATAATTCAATCTATTTTGTCAAGTTCGTTTACACTTCTTCTCACAAGTTGATAAAAATTAAAAATAAAAATTTGAATTATACAACTAAATGATATAGGTCGGTGCTATTTCTTTTAATTTTTAAATTTTAAATCTCCGTAAGAATAAAATGACCATATTAAGATCGAAATAAATACATAAAATTATATAATCTTCAAATACAATAATAATTCAATTAACATATAATAAAACAAGTAAACAATTATATTAAGTAACCAAGGGTTGTACTCCGATGCCCCTTTTTATACCTGTTGCCAATTCAAGTCCCAAAAAGAATAATTTGAGTGTTTGAAAAAAAGAAGTTTTTAAAAAATAGAATAATGATAACCAGTACAAAACCATAATATGATGATATAATATGTAGTAATTAACATATGCCAAGACTTGTGCACTAAACATATTGTCTCTATTCTATTTTATTTTTCAAAGGAGAAGGTAAGACTGGTCATGGCCCCAACTCTGGCGGCCTCAACGGCCCAACCCAAGCATAAAATACGTAAGTCAATAAATAAAAAAACAGTCAGGTGTTTGATAACACATTAGAGCATCTTTGATCATTGTGTGTGTGTGTGTTTTTTTTTTTTTATTTTTTTATTTTTTTAATTTGATGTGTCATAATAAATTTATACAAAAATTTGAATTATTTATTTTTAGTTTCAATAGTTGTTTTATATCTTTCGTGTAAAAATATATTCTCCAATAACAACCAACCTTTGTCATGCCTGGACCCCACATAATTTTTACAAACTTACTAAATATAGAGTTAATTCGTTAACGAAATGCAAAAGAGGGAAGAAAAAGAAAATATACTGATGTGACTGTGTAAAAAAGTTATATAAAATACACAATAATTTTACACATTGGTAACATGGTAGTGTACCTTAACAGACCGCTAGAGATAAAAAAATAAAATAAAAAATTATATATCATATGTGACAATATATATTTTACAAAAAAAAAATTAAAAAGTATTTTAACAAACGACTGAAGATGCTCTTATAATGAGCATTTTTATAATTAAATTATTATAATTTTTTCTTTATTTGATAGTCATTCCCGTATGCCTCCATGGGGAGACTTGAACTATTTAAACGTCTGAATGTAATTATCTTTATAAAAAATAAAAAAAGACATAGTTGACTTAATGTAGAATAATTACTTAAAATATTCAACCTATACTCAAAACCCAATTTTAAAAGCTTCAAATTCTCTCTTCAATTTGGTAATCATTAAAATTGCTTTTACCAAACACATTTAGAGGTGCTGCATCGCTCATTGATTGAAAATAAATACAATTTTTCAAAATAAAAGCTCTTTTACAATGCTTCTAAGGTTTAATGGTTTACCAAACACATTTAATGCAATTTTTCAAAATAAAAGGGCTTTTAAGAGCAATCCCAAACAGGTTAATCTTGTCCAAGCCCATTCGGGTCTGCGATGGGTCATATGGGTCGGGTGGAAACCGAACATATTCCACTCCCAACTTCATCATACCCTTAAATAGCACCTTAATCAGATTCTGTAGGAGGATTGGTTTTGTAGAGAGAGGGAGAGAGAGATGAGTGCAGCGCAGGTGATGAAGCGAATTCCCCGCATCAAGTTTCCTCAGCGGCATCCTAAAACCTCTGGTTTGTTCTTCTGTATACCCAAAACAGATAAACTTTTTATGTGTGTATATGTATATGTATGCGTGTTTGTCCGATCACTCACCAAAAGAACCTATTGTTGGACCAATTGATTGAACTATTGAGCAGGGTTATTTTATTTTATTTTTATTTTATCTATGATTGAATTTTGTAACATCATTACATACTATTGTGAAATTTCAAAGCATTATATTAATATGTTTTATGAAATTGTCCGAAGATATATTAGATTGAATATGTTTCTGTATCCGGGTTGAATTTAATGAAAATGATGTGCGTGTTTGCTAGAAAATTACAACTGAGAAGTCTCTGCATGCCGAGGTAAAGCTGTGTACATTTTAACCCTCAAACCTCCTGCACTCTGCTAGTAGGGAAATGTTTCCAGCTCTAGAAAAATTAAGCTACCCTTCAGATTTTATGTCCTGACATTGCTTATAGCTTTGTGATTGACTTCTATTTACAGAGCTGTTGATATGTCCCAAATTGCTTTGATACTTATGGTTGATCATGTAATATATAATTTTGGGTGTCTTTAAGTCTGTAATCAAATCTGAAATGGTCCCAAAAGAACTTTTTGTAATTAGATGGTTAAGAATATGACCGTCAATGTTTTCTTGCTATTGTGGACTGTATTGGATCACCGGATGTAATTTCTATGAGCTTTTCCACTATAACAATGTCTGAGGTTGTTGCTCACTTTAACATTGCCCATAGTGTGGTTGTGCTAATATATCAGCTGTTCATGTAACACAGAAAACCTTAACCTTTTTAGCTGCTTATATTATCATCTGTTACAGTAGAGCTTTTGTGCCACCGTCCGGGAAAAAAAGTACTTGACCAGCAATTGGCACTAAAAGAATGCCCAATGCTTTGCAACTTAATAAAGCCTTACTTATGTTAACTTAAACGGCTAACTTTATTTTTATTAGTCATTCAACAATGTCAAGGCACACATTCCCTTTCTAGATCGTGGATCCATTGTATATATTCTAGCAGCTTAAATCGACTAACTTTTTGGTTTTCCTCTTGTTCTTAAATCATCTTTGACTTCAATCTATTTATGGTTGCAGTTGGGGGGGACTTTATTGCAAATGAAAATACCATCACTCGATTTTATTTCACACTGTTTTCAGTTTGTGCTACTGCCACCTCTATTCCATCTTTCCACATTTGGGCACTTTTCAATCCTAAAACAAATGAAGGTATATGTATGTATAGCTTTATTCATTGAGTTTAGATAGACTGATCATTATAACAATTGAGTTGATTTGGTACAATTCATCTAAGAGATAGATAGATAGAGAGAAAGAGAGAGAGATAGAGCAGTAGAAAAAAGTAGTTTTTAAGAAATTCTGACGATAAGCTTGTAAGCTGCAAACCATGGGGAGATAGATCGATATATATATATATATATATATATATATATATATATATATATAGAGAGAGAGAGAGAGAGAGACGCTTAAATGGGGCTCAACTATTGATCCGGATGATGAGTATCAAGCCTTAGAAAAAGTAGTTTTTAAGAAATTCTGACAATAAGCTTGTAAGCTCCAAGCCATGGGGCAAGTAACAGTTGGGGATAGGGATGGCAACGGGGTGGGTTTGGTCTGGGTTCTCCCAAACTCTACCCCTTCCCGATTAGATATTGTTTGTTCCATACCGGTCGCGGTCTATACACCTAATCCCATCCCTATAGAGAGAGATCTATATGTATATACATACATTGATATATATGAGAACGTCACTAATACAATCGGACGTTTGCCGTCAAAAGACTTAGCTAGATTGAAATGCGAGGCTGTGCGCCTAAGTTGAATATTGCCGATCGGAAAGTCTTCAGTCATGAATCTGAGGCTTTGTGAACTAAACACTTCTCAAGCAACTACTCTTATCATCACAGAGATAAAAAAATAAAAATAAAAATCTGTATTCTACAAAACTTTGTAGAGAGAGGTAGAGTAAAGTAGAAGAAGATGAAGACATTGGTGTGGATCTTTTCGGCATTGTGCTTAAAGGAGTGAGGGAGGGGGAGAGACAGAGAGGCACCAGTGAGATCATGATGGAAGGGGGTAGAGTGAATACTGAATGGGTGGGGTGTGGCATATTTTGGAAGCTTTAGGGTTAAAATGTGTTAGGGTTGGTATATTATGTATATAAAATATAAGTTCCATAAATGTTATATATATATATATATATATATATTTGGGGCAGGATGGGATAGAGTAAAACCCATCCCTGCCCAAACCCGAATTAGCTTTGTTATTTATTTCCATACCCGTCCCAAACCTTATTAAAAGAGTCCCACACCTGCCCCAATAGGGGCGGAGGTGGGGTGGGTAAAATTGCAATGAAGGATTAATTACTTTAAGTAGGTTGGGTATACCTAGTCAAAAGTCAAAGCATTGATGTTTTTCTCATTCTAGTTTATAGGTGCACAGTGCGCTTTTCACTTTGTAGTTGACAATTAATATTGCTTAACCTTCTCTTCGTTCTCTTTTATGTTATGTAAGAGGCAGTGCTTTCTCCTCGATTGATGATTTATTTGATCTATTGGACTATGTTGGTCCTTAGGTCTTTCGTTTTTGTGTATTAGCGACGCGTTCCCCTTTTGAACGCTTTTCTAATATATTTTTTACTTATCAAAAAAATATATTGCTTACCCTTCGGAACCAACTTGTGGACTTATCTTCCAAACTTATATTGTGCTTCTTCAATGTTCATTTCTATATATATATATATATATATATATATAAAATAAAAATAAAATAAAATAAAATAAAAAATTTATATTCTTACACTGTGAGAATTTTGTGATTTTTCTATGTGGACAAACATTAGTCATTTTAGAGGATATGTTTACCATTCCCAGTTTAATGCTTTATTCAGTTGGTGTCTGCATGCACTTATTTTATAATTCATTATCTGCTTAAACCATTTGACTTTTCTCAATTCTATTGGAGTGTTAAAGTAGTTTCCTCTGCAGATTCCACATCCAAACCTCAAGCAGCATCTATGACTGGTGATGCTCATCAAACTTCATCCAAACCTCAAGCAGCATCTATGACTGGTGATGCTCATCAAACTTCATTTTCAAGGTCTGCCCAAACGAACATGACTTTGGGAGGAAAAGCTTCTCTTCAGCCCAATCGAAGACCTGTCTCTGAAGAAGAGATTGAGGCTATTTTGGTATGTCAGACCTCTTTGCTAGATTATTGAGAAATTCACATATTTAATAATATAATAATCACTGGCGTTCCTTAAATTATTTTTATCTGAAGTGTGCATGTCTATGATTGAGTCACTCTTCATATATCAAGTATCACACTGGAGAAAATTTTGAAGGTTGGACCATATTATTGGAAAGTGGTCCATTTTCAACTAGCACCATTTGGTAATGAAATTAGATACTCTAAGTAGCACATATGCGGACACTATAAGGTGCTGACACATCAAAGCCAAAAAATATAGGATATGGACATGGCGTGAACGCATCTATATATAAATAAAAAAATTGATTTATATACATTCTATCTATTAAGACAATCGTAAAACTTTGCCTTTTAATTTCTATACTATGAGTTACATAATTTCGAAGATGAAGTTATGTAAATATTAATTATTATATTATATATTATACTACTCTCCTAGTTTGTCAATGTAATTATATTTTTATCCTATATTAAAAGATGTCATTGCATGCATGACCACAATATGTGCATAATGTTTATTTCCTTAAAAAAATTGACTTTGCCTAGAGGTGTGTTCATATTGTTTCCAAGATTGTTGAACATAGCTACTCTTGGATGTGTGTGTATGACATAAGACTTGTGTTGGGGAGTGTCTAGAATGCATTGGCCAAGTGTTTGGGATGCATTGGATAAATGGCCAAAATAATGAATTTATTTTCAAATTATAGACAAGTCGATGAAGTGTTAGACGTGTTTAGAGTGTCTATGAAGTGTTGTCGTTGACACATGTCCAATATGGACACCACGCCTTTGTAGAAGAGTTCATGCTTCTTAATAGATACCTATTTGTAGTCATATCCTCCTTACAATGCAATTAATGTCTTGTCAAGTCCATAACTAATTCATGTGTTGTATGTCAATTAATGCAATTATTGTTGTTGTTGTATTTTGAAAACTTTTTCCTTTTTTTAGTTCTTCATTTCATTTATATTTTTGTTCTTTGTCTCCTGTTAAGCAACACCCCCCTCCTTTTTATTGGTCTGTGTTTTGTCTGTCCCTTATTTTCAACAATATAGATTTTAAGAGCTGCATTCAGAGGGGCAATTTCTTAGCTTTCTAAAGCATTGAACATCCAAGGAGTCTAATTTTATAGGACGGTTACCAAAGGATTTTACTAAAAATAGCCATTTTTAATATTTAGGGTCCAGCATACAATAATGATGGAGAGATAGATGACAATGTAATAAGTAGGATTGGAGTAGGGTTGTGACAAATGAATACCAAATAAGTTTTATATGATGGTTATTAGGCCAACTATGTATCATATGGAGTGGAATGTTGGGTGTTAAAAAAGAAATAAGAACAATGCATTCATGTTATTGAAATGAGAATATTAAGATGGATGATAGGAATGACAAGAAAAAATAGGATTAATGATCAACATGTGAAGGAGAAACTAGGAGTTGCGCCTATTAGTGGTAAAATAAGAGAAAGTAGACTTATGTGATATGTTCATATACAACAAAGACCCATGGATGCACCGGTAAGAAAAGGTGGATTACTACATTTATTTGGATAAAAGGTAAGATGCAAAGAGATCGACCAAAACTCGCATGGGATGAACTATTAGAAGTGATTTTAAAAAGTTAAATATAATAAGAGATATGACTTGTAAGAGTACAGAAATGAAAATAAAATTCGTGCAACCAATCTCAATCATATAGGATAAAGGCAAAGATGATGATCATGATATGAGGAAATAATTTGTATGTACTTTAACCAGAACTTTTATTCCTTGTTTACACAATTAGCTTGTAGAATTGATTATTATTCCTTGTTTTTGACTCTTTTTATTTATTTATTTTTGGCAGATGGGTGGGTGTTTCTGATCTTTTGATGGAGTTGTGAGAAGGGAGGACATCATTCAACAGTTCTTTGGCTTTCATATATAATTTTTCATTCCTTTCTCTCGGGAAATAAAAAATAAAAACATTACTCTTCAAACTTGGAGATTTTAAGAGAATGATCAACTAATTGATATCTTTGATAAACACACCAAAAGTGAAGAAATGGGAGGCATGCATTAGCTTTTCCTTCGCTGACCTATTTGTTTCGTCGGGAAAATTTCTCGACCTTTTTTGCTTTGGTTCCGAATTTCCTGAGCTATTCTGTTCAAGTTTGTTTTGAGAGGCCGTTGAAGTTTCTCTTTATTTCAATTGTGATTCTATGCAACTTGGCTCAGGAAAATATTGATGGTAATTTTGCATAGAGGAGACATGATTTTGCTAATGTGTTGATGGTTATTGCATGTTGGAACTAAGTTCTGTTGATTAGAGAATGTCAGACATTATTTCATGGCTTTTCAGTCCTGTGACTGGTTGTTACATGTTGCTTTCTAATATCTCTTTAACCAGGATGTGTACTAAATTGTTGGTGTTCCACTGGGGCGCATTGTAGAGCAAAGTCAAGAACATGCGATGAATGAAAGTCATGCATATTGTATTTATGCAGAAAATAAGTACAAAAAGAAAAAAAAAAATAATGGTAGAAGATGAGGCTTGACAATTGTTGTGAACAAAACAAACAATCAATCAAAGCGTGAACAAAACAATCGTGTGGACCATTCAAATGCATTAAAAAGTGTAAAGATACATCTCTACCAATTTTACTACATTTTTTCTTCTAAATATGTTAACTCTGGACACGCTCTTTATGTGACTTAGAAAAGAAGTAGGGCACGTATAAGGAAGTGACTTAAAAAAAATCACATCTAAGAATTGCAATCCCATTAGGAAATTCAAAATCTTAATTCGGAAAAAAAAAAAAAAAAAGTGCATCATAATCCAACAACTCTATAACTAATAATTTCTGCAAGGAGTCTGCATGAACCCTATGATATTTGCCCTCTGACACAAGACCCTGTGACATTCATGATTGAAGATGCAAAGAATTGACTCTCTCTATCCTCACAGAGTCTCGTTACATTTTCAACAAAAATCCCCTTACATTCTCTCCTTCCTGCCTATTTATAGGCATTTACAAGTGCTACTAGAATGCTATAAGTGATTCTCTAAGTTGGGTCCCTCGACAGGCTTCATTCCTTACGGGCCTAGCTATGCATTCGGCCTATTCCGCAACGTCACCGTGTGGGCTGAATCCAGTTTCTCGGCCTGATCCTCTTTTCGTGGGTCATATCTAGCCCATGTCTCTTCCGATATCCTCAACTGCCCCCATAATTACTCCCTAATTAATTAGGGGGTAATTATTAGAGGCTGCTAATCATGGCTTGACGGCTCAAGAAGATCTCATGGAAGAATGGACGGTTGGATTTGGGAGTCGGTGCTTCGAGATTCAAAAAACTCCTCGCTTTCCTGACTCCTCGGCCTTCGAGCCCACCTTGTCTTTATAAGTCTCAGAGATGTTCCATCAATCCTCTTTACCATTTCTATCTTGCTTCACCGTCATTCAAATCTTCATCTATCTCTTTTGAGTTAAATCCCCTCCGACGAACTTTTGCAAAAGCTTCCTTTTCCGGTGATCTTGCAGTGCTCTTCGCGATGTTCAATCTTTCGAGGTTAGTTTTGTTTTTTTCTCCTCCTTTAGGGATTTGCTGTTCTTCCTCAGAATCTTTGTTCGTTTTCACCATGACTATAGATTTAAGTGTTCTTTGTATGAGACTCAACCTTCCTGATGACATTCAAATTAGGGCTTGCCCCAAAGATGTAAATATCAGGACTGGTGCTAGCCTTCTTCCCGGCGAGGTCTTGTTTTCCAATCTTCAATTAAATCTCATTAGGTTCCCTCTGTATCCCTTCTTTAGTTACGTTTTTAATAAACTGAAACTTTCCCCTTTGCAAGAAAACCCAAATTTCCTTAGGGTTCTATCTGTTATGTTGCTTCTGAACCGTGACAGAGGTCTAGATCTTGACTTCATAGATCTTCTCCTCTGTTACAAGGTTAGCAAAATCTGAATTGATGAACCGTTCTGCCATTTCTACCCAATTGAGAAGAGGTCCATATGCAAAGATAAAATCAAATCTGAGAAGGGTTCGAGGAAAAATATAATTGGGATTAGGGGAGCCTGGTTTTCTCCAGTCGCAAAGGACTTCTGTAATACCCGGGTATCACAACTTCCCTATCCCGAGCGCTTTTGGCGAGTGCTCTGTCTCTTCGTATAAAAAATACAAAACCCATAAGAGTGACTGTCCTTGCGAGATTTGCGTTCTTCGCTTTTATACTTTCTTATGCCGTTCCTTAGGCATTCCTTGTGATGATTTGAGCTACGGTGTTTGCAGGGATAGGGATAACTATTTGAAGAAGTGCGTTCTGAACGACATTCCCTCTTGCTCGGACCTCCTTACCTCATACAACCTTCTTGCTCTCTCAGCCCTTGGCAAGACAATTAGTCAACTCTAGATCCCTTCCTTCGGCAGGAAGAAGGCTGCCCCCAGGACCGTTGTTGCCCCTGTGGCAACTTCTTCCCCAGTTTCAATATCTTCTTCTGCCATTATTTCTGATACCACTCCTTCCATTGATCCGACCGTGACGACTACCGACCCGGTCTCTAACGTTACGCCTGTCAATCCGAACGTGACCCCTTCTGTCAACAACCTTCCCAGCTCTGCCACTGTTGCCGCTTGGGAAAAGGCGAGAGGAAAAAGGCCTCAGCCTGATAGTGCTCTCAGCATTGATGACGTTCCTTTGTCTCAAAGGGTTAGGCCCTCTGGGCCAAGTGTGTTCGTGCATCCTCTGACTAGGCCCCCTTTGACTAGGCCTTCTGCCCTCTCTGGGCCTATCTCTGTTAATGCCTCTGCCTCTGTATCGGCACCATGGAACCTCCGCTTTATTCGAACAGACGGGTCGTTTGTAAAGCCAGACGAGACCATGTTCAAGGATGGTCAAACCGCTATGGCATACTACAGGATCATGTGGACTTCTAAAGATATCGAGGTAGCCAAGGGTTTGTCTCAGAAAGAAGTGTTCAGCCGGTTCCCCTTGTCTGCCATAGAGGTAACTTTTGCCCCTCAGTCAATGAATCTTTACATAGTCTTTACATTTGATTACTTCTGATCACCTACTCAGCTTAATTAGTTATCATGTATATCTCTGCAGACCCTATTTGGGATGATGGCCATGCAGAAGCAAGTTGAGCTGGGAAACGCCAAGGCTCGTAAGCTCTCTGACAACCTTGGTGCAGCTAACAAGGAAAACAATGCCTTAGTTTCTCAGAATGCCGAGCTGATGGTTCAGCTCAACAAAGTTGAGAAAGAGAGGGACGCTCTGATAAAAGAGACAGACTCTCTTCAGGACGAAAAGGATGTTCTGCAACTTGAGAAGAATGTCTGGCATACCGAGCGAGAATCTCTTAAGGCTGAGAAGGAAGAACTTCAGCGCCTTCTGAGTGATGAGCAATCCACTCCGATGGCCTTTGAGAAAAGAGCTCTAGATGAGCGTGATGCTTTACTCAACACCATCAGTAAGGTAAATGGTGGTATGCTAGTTTTGCACGCTCGGTTTTCCAGGGTTGGGGCCCTCAGATATGCTCAGGGGTTCCGAGAGGGTTATATCGATCGTATTCCAGCTGAAGGTCAGACCGGTTCTACCCCTGATGAGGTTGACAAGGAGCTGAAGATTGATCCTCCGGGTGTTTATGCCGACCCAAACTCTACCCCTGCTGAGGGTATATTTGATGAATGCCAAGAGATCGCCTTTTCTAGGATCACTCCTACTCCTTCTACTGCTCAACCTCTGGGCGTTCTTCCTCTGTCCACTGTGACTCCATCCGCCACCGCTGCTGAGGATGAACCTCGGCAGAATGATTCTTCCAATGCTACTGAGGATAGAACTCAGCAGAATGATTCTGTCATTCAGCTTGATTCTCCTCCTCGTGAGGACGGAACCGCCAATAGTGATGAAGGGACCGTTCAGCACCATCAAGAAGCTGACGGGGCAAATACTTCTAGTTAGAACCTTTCTGATGTCCCCACCTCCTTCCTTTTGCACTTTTGTCATCTGTATACCTCATTTTTTGTAACTCAGAAACTTCACTATTAATGAGATGGCTGACTTTTGGTTGAACTTTTGCCATAAATCCCTTTACTTAATGATTTAATGTTATCTGATCTGGTTTCTCTCTGTATGTCAGTGGTTAGCGTTCGGCTAGTGTGCCACTTTGCCACATTTTATTTTTATTTTTTATTTTTTTCCGCAAGTTTTTGGCGTTCGGCTCATAGTGCCAGCTGCCACTTACTTTACTAAGTGGTTGGCGCTCGACTAGAATGCCACTTGACACTTTCACTCTTTTATTTTTGGCAAGTTCTTGGCGTTCGGCTCATAGTGCCAGCTGCCACTTACTTTGCCAAGTGGTTGGCGCTCGGCTAGAATGCCACTTGCCACTTTCACTCTTTTATTTTTTGGTAAATTTTTGGTGTTCGGCTCATAGTGCCAACCTACTTACTTTGCTGAGTGGTTGGCGCTCGGCTAGAATGCCACTTGCCACTTTCACTCTTTTATTTTTGGCAAATTCTTGGCGTTCGGCTCATAGTGCCAGCTGCCACTTACTTTGCTGAGTGGGTGGCGCTCGGCTAGAATGCCACTTACCACTTTCACTCTTCTATTTTTGGCAAGTTCTTGACGTTCGGCTCATAGTGTCAGCTGCCACTTACTTTGCTGAGTGTTGGCGCTCGGCTAGAATGCCACTTGCCACTTTCACTCTTTTAATTTTTGGCAAGTTTTTGGCGTTCGGCTCATAGTGCCAACTGCCACTTACTTTGCTGAGTGGTTGGCGCTCGGCTAGAATCCCACTCGCCACTTTCACGCTTTTATTTTTTTGGCAAGTTTTTGGCGTTCGACTCATAGTGCCAGCTGCCACTTACTTTGCTGTTTTCATACACTCAACTTTTTAGAAGAAGATAGTTTTTTATAAATTTCAGAATTCTGTACACTGAAAATGAGTAATGCCATAATTAGAACTTTAAACTTTCTACATATAATACCTTTTTAAAGATGTAGCATTCCATGGCTTGTTAACCAACCTTCCGGCCATGGTCTCTAGTATATATGCCCCCTTCCCTATGATCTTTGCAATTCTGTATGGTCCTTCACAAGGCGACATCATCTTTTTAACCATTCCTACCTTCTTCTTCAGAACCAGATCACCAAGTGTGAAATCTCTGTGCTTCACCCTTTTGTTGTGGCTGCTAGCCAGTGTCTGCTGATAGGATCCAAGCCTTATTACCGCAGCATCTCTCTTTTCCTCTAACATATTAAGGTTAAATCTCAGCATTTTTTCATTTTGTTCCTGATTCCATGCTAAGCTTTGGACAGTTGGAACCAAATATTCAACCTGTATGACTGCTTCGGTTCCGTATGCCATGGCGAATGGGCTTTCCCCGGTCGGCCGTCTAGGGGTCGTTCTGTAAGCCCATAGGACGTTCGGGAGTTCATCCAGCCACTTCCCTTTACGGTTTTCCAATTTCTTCTTGATACAAGCGAAAATTGTTCTATTCATAATTTCTGCTTGTTCATTGGCCTGGGTATGACTTACTGCTGCCAATTTTTGGTTAATTCCATATTCTTCCAGCAATTCTCTAACTTGCTTGCTGTCGAGATTAGTCCCATTATCCATAACAATTGACCTCGGGACACCAAAATGGTAAATAATATTACTCCAGATGAAGCGTCTTATATGGGTTTGCGTTACGCTCGAATATGGCTCTGCTTCCACCCATTTGGTAAAGTAATCTGTTGCCAGCAATATATACTTGTTCTGAGCTCTTGCAGTTGGCAGAGGACCAACCACATCCATCCCCCATTCTGCGAAAGGCCATGGTGTGGCCATCACGTGCAAGTCCTCAGGTGGTTGGTGGATTAATGGTCCAAACCTTTGGCACTTATCGAATCTTCTGGAGAATTCTTCCGCATCTCGTGACATGTTCGGCCAGAAGTACCCTTGCGTCATTGCTTTGTGCGCTAAAGATCTTCCCCCTGAATGATTTCCACACATGCCTTCATGAATAGCCCGCAATAACTGCCGAGCTTCTGTGAGGGTAACGCATTTTAAGTACGGCCCAGAAAAAGACCTCTTGTATAACTGGTTATGCACTATGGCGTATTTTGCAGCGTTCGATTTGATTTTCCTAGCCTCATCTCTTTGCTCAGGCAGAGTACCGTTCCGAATATAAGTTACAATCGAATCAATCCAACTTGGCTCATTTGGAATAACATTCACTTGCCAAGGATCTGGGCCCGAAGATTCTTCAAAAATGGATGGCTGGTTCAGTATTCCTACGGGAATCACCCTTGCCAATGTCTCTCTAGAAACCAAAGCGCTATATGCTAGCCGATCAGCATCTTCATTATGCTCTCTTGGTACTTGGATGAATTCAATTTTTTCAAAGTTTCTGACTTCTCGTATAACAGTATAATGATATGCTTCCATCGTTTCATCCTTGGTTTCATATTCGCCATTGACCTGTCAGACAATTAACTGCGAGTCACTAAAGACGGTCAAATTCCTGACCTTTAGCTCTTTGGCGAGCTTAAGTCCAGCCAGTAGTGCCTCATATTCCGCTTCATTATTAGTGGCTCTGAATTCAAGCCGGAGCGCTTGACTTAGGAACGTGCCTTCTGGTGTCTGTAGTTTGACTCCAATGCCTGCCTCCATCTGATTTGAGGATCCATCGACAAAGAGTTTCCACAAGCAACCTCGAAGGTCTTCCTCCATGTCTTCTGAATCACATTCCAGCAAGAAATCTGCCACTGTTTGCCCTTTAACTGCCGTTCTGGGTTCATATGTTATGTTAAATGAGCTTAACTCTATGGCCCACTTCGTCATCCTCCCTAAGAGGTCTGGCTTGTGCAGGATTATTCTGATAGGGAAAATGGTTATAACGATGATAGGATGGGATTCAAAATAATGCCTGAGCTTTCTTTTCGCATGTACTAGCGAAAGTATCACCCGCTCGGCCTTTGAATAGCGTCGTTCAGCCTCAGTCATCGTTTTGCTAACATAGAACACTGGATATTGCTTCTCCTCTTTACAACGGATTAGAACGCCACTTGTCGCGATGCTGGATACCCCGAGGTATAAAAATAGCTTTTCTCCTGGTTCGAGAGCTGACAGGACCGGAAGGTTCTACATATATTCTTTCAAACCAGTTAATGCTCGGCGCTAGTCATCCCCCTAAACTTGTCTCTTATGGCTTCGTATTGTGTCAAAAAATGGTTTGCAGCAACCTGAAAATTTGGAAATGAACCGGCTCAATGCAGCTATCCGTCCCATAAGTGCTTGCACTTCTTTGATTGTCTTCGGCTCGGCATTCTTACTCAGAGCTTTTGTTTGGGCAAGGCTAGCTTCTATGCCTCTATAATTAACCACGTGTCCTAGGAACTGACCAGAACTCACGCCGAATGAGCACTTGGTTGGATTGAGCTTCATTCCATATTGTCTCAACACATCAAATACGTCTTGTAGATGTTTCAAATGGTCAACTTTCTTCTTACTTTTTACTACCATGTCATCAATGTAGGCTTCCACTGTCTTCCTTATTTGATCCTTGAAAATTTTGCTAATAAGCCTTTGATAAGTTGCCCCAGCGTTCTTCAGTTCGAACGGCATAACTTTGTAGCAATAGGTCCCTCGCTCGGTAACGAAAGAAGTTTTCTCTTCATCAGCAGGGTCCATGGAGATCTGATTATAACCTGAATAAGCATCTAAGAAGGTTAAACGCTCATACCCAGTAGTAGCATCCACCATTTGATTAATTTTGGGCAGCGGAAAGCTATCCTTCGGACAGGCTTTGTTCAAATTGGTGAAGTCAATGCACACTCACCATTTCCCATTCTTCTTCTGCACAACAACAACATTTGACAACCAGTCGGGATAGTACACTTCTCTTATAAATCCTGTATAAAGCAGCCTATCAACCTCCTCGGCTATGATCCGGGTACGCTCTAGAGCAAACTTTCGCTGCTTCTGCTTTACAGGTCTTGCATTGGGATTAATGTTCAAGGAGTGACAGGATACGGAAGGATTGATTCCAAGCATGTCTAGGTGGCTCCATGCGAATACATCAGCGTTCTGAGACAAGAAATCAACTAACTCCTATTTCTCCCCCTCAGCAAGTCTTACCCCCACTCTGGTTGTTCGTTCTGGTCGGAATTGATCGATCTGTACATCAACTAAGGGTTCTTCGGTCAAGTCCACTGGCTCCCCCTCCCCATTCTGCTTGGGTGGAGGTTCCTGTAATTGCTATCTCGGGCTTGCCGAACGGATGGGTGCTTTCCCTTTTCCAGCATATTTCAGTGTTACTGAATAACATTCCTTAGCTGCAACCTGGTCCCCATGAATGTCAATCACCTTGGTTCCGTCTGGCCCCAGGCATCTCATTACTTGATGCAGAGTGGAAGGAACACCGTGAACTATATGGATCAACCCTCTGCCTATCAGAAGGTTAGAAGAGGGATGAATCTCGACAACCACAAAACTCTCCATCAGAACCCTTTCTGCGGTATGCACTGCTACTTCCACCACTCCAACGGGTTCCACCCGCTTTCCATCGAACCCGAGCAAGGGATTGCCAGTGGGCTTGAGCCTATCGGGCTTTATATCGAGCCAATCGAACATGTCCCTCGGCATAACATTCGAACTACTTCCAGGATCAATCAGAACTCTTCGTACTAAGTATTCGGCCATTGTCAAACTAACAACTAACGGGTCATCATGAGGGATCTGAAAACGCAACAGATCTGTTTTGTCAAACTTTATCTGTGTTGATGTGCTTTGTTGGTGCAGAGTGTTTACACTGCCTATCCTCCTCTTCATCTGCGCCTGGCGGAGTCGTGTTCGAAGTAGTTCATCTAACTCTTCACGTTCAGGCCGGCCATGAATTGCATTGATTATTTGAATTAGTTGTGAGTTATAGGAGTTCGGCTTCTGATTCCTCCTCTTCACTTGCTCCGCCGGTTGATTCTGCTCTACCGCCGGGCCTTGAATATAACTTGCGAACTCCCCTCTGGCTATCAACATCTCCACCTGCCTCCTTAAGTTCCTGCATTCGTTAGTCTGATGGCCAAAGTCAGAATGGAAAGCGCAATGCTTAGACTTATCTCTCTGCTCCGGTGGTTGTTTGATAGGTAAAGGAAGTCGGAACTTATCTTTGTTTTCTTGGTACAACCTTGCTAGAGTGACTTTCAATAGAGTGACCAATTCCTCTTCCCTGGGCCTCTTTTCTGCTTTCCAAGGAATCTGCCGCTGTGATGGAGCTGGTTTTTGCCTGATCTTAGCTTTGGACTTTTCCTCTGTTGACATAATTGACGTTTTCCTTGCATTAGCTGCCTCTTCCTCTTCCAAATGGACAAATCCACCAGCTCTTTCATTCAGCTCGTCCATGGTTTGTGGCGTGTTCACCACCAGACTTGTGTGGAACGGAGTCCCACGAATCATGGCCAGCTTGAATGCCTGAATCGCCGTGGACGGATGACATTCGATCACTATGCTCATGGTTAAATTAAATCTGGTAAGAAAGGCTTGGAGGCGTTCATCTTCATGCTGTCGCATCGTGAATAGACTGGAGACATCTTTTGCCTGGTGCTTATTCCTATAGTACTGGCTGATGAACCGATCGCAATCGGAAACTATCAATCGATCCCCTCGGTAAGTTTTTGAACTAATTAAGCGCTGGTCTAGCTAAGCTTGTTGGAAAACATTTACACATTAAGGAGTTGTTCTCCGTGTTCAGAGCCATTTTCAATTGGATATGATACACATGATCGATCGGATCAGTCGTTCCGTCAAACAGGATGAAAACTGGCATGGAGAATTTCCTCGGACTCGGAGCATTCAGAATTTCATCAGTAAACGGTGAGTCAACCGTCCGAGCTGCTGAACAAAGGGCCTCATTCTCTCTATGGAACCTTGTGGCAGCTCTCTGATCCGTAGATCTCCTTTCTGAGCTTCGGTAGTCTAACGTAGCCATTGAAGGTCGATAAAGCGAATCAGATGATCTTTCCTCCATATATTCCTTCTGCCAGATCGGTGTAATTTTGTGATGTCCAAACTCCATAGCTTCTTCTCGGTTGAACCTCTCCTGATACGGATTAAAAGTCATTGCCTCGTTCTGCCTGATCTGCTCATGCTGTGGATCTAAGTGAATTGAGCCTTCTCGATCATCAAAACGGCGAGGATTTGGCGGCAAATCATCCGGCCTAACCTCCTCGTGACAAGGATTTGTCAGATTGTTCTCTTCCCCCTCACCTTGACGCGTAACAACAGGATGCATAACCTCTTCACCCGCCGGAAGCAGTTGCAGAATCACCGGAGCTTCTTGGCGCTGCATTCCAGCTTTCAGCTCTGTATTCTCTTTCCTGAGAACTTCGATCATGTTCATCAACTCATCAAGCTTCATCTATTGGACATTTTCCACCGGATTGGAGCTCTCGCCTCCTATCATGATTCCGAAGCGAAGCGAAGCGAAGGCATGAATCACAAGATCTTAATCAGATATGAGCTTTACTGATGCAAATCTCGTCGGATCTGGACTCAAATTCACCGAATCGCGATCATAGTTCGCTAGATCTGAGCTTTTCTAGCTTCTAACTCACCGGATCTAGTTGCGATCAAGCAAATCTCAGCTGCATAACTCCAACGCAAACACGTCAAAACCAATAGTAATCAATCCTTCAAAAAAACTGCAATCTCTTCGATCTGGATTCAATTTCCAGAAATCTTGCTTTGTCTTCATGGATTAGTTTGAATTAACATGACATCGATCAAGCATGAATGAGTGTTCTTCATCGGTTCCCACAGACGACGCCAATTGAAGATGCAAAGAATTAACTCTCTTTATCCTCATAGAGTCTCATTACATTTTCAACAAAAATCCCCTTACATTATCTCCTTCTTGCCTATTTATAGGCATTTACAAGTGCTACTAGAATGCTATAAGTGATTCTCTAAGTTAGGTCCTTCAACAGGCTTCATTCCTTACAGGCCTAGCTATGCATTCGGCCCATTCCGCAACGTCACCGTGTGGGCTGAATCCAGTTTCTCGGTCCGATCCTCTTTCCGTGGGTCATATCCGGCCCATGTCTCTTCCGGTATCCTTAACGATTCACCCCAACAAACTTTTGGCGCCTTTGTCACAGTTGAACATTTGGCGCCTTTGTCACAGTCGGGCCACTTTATCGACTCATTTACCTTGTCTACAAGGAAGTCGATAATGATACGGATGTTATAGTCGGGCTATCTCGCCTACTAGTCTAACCCATATTTGAAGTTTTCTCATTATTATTATTATTATTATTATTATTGCACTTCTTTTCTTTTTGCCCTTATGCATGATGTATTTAGTATATAATTCAACCTTTTGTTTATTTATTTTTATCCTCTTATTCCTTTTTACTTTCTTCTTCTTATTTAAATTTATTATTGTGTATTTATGAAATCAATGCGTGAAATTTTATGCATCATTTTCAAAATACAAAAAACCTATCGTGAACAATTGTAATTATATTCCATCCAAATATTATCAATTAATATTTTGGTTCTCATATTTGTGATATATTTATCCTTCTTATACTTAGTATATTACTCATTGATTATCATATTATTTGTAATTATTATTGTTTTTTGTTTTTTTATTTTTATTTTTTTGTCAAGTATATTGGCCCCACTAAAATAAAATTGTGGCTTTGCCCGGACCTGATATATGATTTGAACACTTTGCATAACATCGTATAAGAGCATCCGCAGTGGGCTTTTTAGAGACCAATTTGACAAGCAAATGGCCTAAATAGGCCACAACAGGCTCGCTTAAAAGAAAAATTCAAAAATCCTTCTCAAAATGAAGGTAATAAAAATAAATAAAATATTTAAAACGTTGCCGTTCAACTACTATTTTTTCAAAAACAAAAGGGGACAATGGTCCTAAGGCCCCGTTTTGCTGACCAGTTGCCCCCAAAACCCTTTTTTCACTTTTTTGATGTTTTAAAAAAAAAAAACAGTAAATAAATAATATAGTCCTTAGGCATTGTTTGGGTAACCCAAATTAAGGACTATATTGGCCTACAAAAAAGATGAAGAAGCGCGCCCGAGCGAGGGGGGGTTGGTGGGGGGATTTTTTTCCCACCTAAAAAGAGTTTTTTTTTCATTTTTTCCCTCATTTATTTAAACCTGCCAAATTACCCGTTAAGGCACTGTTTGTTTGACACAAATAGTGCCTTAACAACTATATTTTTTGAAAAAAAAGTAAAAGAAAGAACTTTTCAACTTTTTAATTTCCCCAACTCCTACCATCATCCAAACTACATTCAACCCATCTCTATTTTCTACTCTTCCAAGCTTCATTTATTTATTTGTCTATTTTAACTTTTATTTATATATTCTTCCAATTCCATGGATCCAAGATCACCATTCTACTGCAACTTCTAACCGACCAATGAATTTTTTTCATTTTGACGAAAATAATATCGATTTGTTTTCCCAGTCACAACCAGACAGTACTCCATATTATGGGAGTAGTGTACCAGAATCCTAAATCCCTTCCCAATTTATGTTCTTGAGATGCCACAATCAAGTAGCGCCGAACCTTCCTCAAGACAACTGGTTGATAGGCAGTCTAATTGGAAGAGGGACGAAAGTGAAGCTCTATGCAAGGCTTGATTGGCCATCTCCGGTGATGCAGT